AAGTAAATTGTATTTTATATAGATTGTGTACATTGTGTATGTACATGCATGTATTTGTGTGTATGTGTGCATATGTTTTAATATGTGTATGTGTGTACTAACACGTACATCATGTGTACATGTAACATGTACATGTGTGTGTATGTGTGTGAGCAATTATGCATGCTTTACATGTAGCTTTATATGTGTATGCATGTATAGATGTAGATGTATGTGTGTTAGTGTGTCATTAGTATGTGTATGTGTATGTGTGTACATGCAGACACTTAGTAAGTTCTTTATTGAGGACTCACATGATATAATAACAGACTCAGTTGTGTATACTAGTCTATTAATATATTGTGTATTATTAATTTTATTATGTGATCTTTGTGTTACATAAAACACACTGTGCAAACTATAAAACTGTGAGTTAGTTATTGTGTTTATTAACTAGATATCAAATAAATTAATATGTCATACACAAATTAATTATTATCATTTTAATTTTATAGATTAATCTACCAGACAATGTCACTAGGAGATACAGTCATTCTCTCTCAGTGTGGAGTGTGACCCCAACTACTAACTGGATAATTGAGTTTGGAGGAGGATCAGCAAGCTACAGTACTGATACAGCAGTTATTGAACTCAGTAAGTACATGTAAACAGAAGTAGATACAATGTGTATTGAATATGTAAAGATAATTAGTAATGATAATATTACAATAAAGTAAGTAATTCTTATGATGAATATTTAATGAGAGCATTTGGCGTATACCTTTGATACTAATTATTACCAATTGATTCCTGCTATGTACAATAGTGAAATATAATGACTGCAGATACAGAAACACTGATATTAATAGGAGCTAGAGTGAATGAAATATTATTATCAGTGTAATTATATACAATAATATGTTCATGTGGTTAACTGTGTAAACTGACAGAGGTCACACATACAATGATTAAACATGAATCCATCAATAATAAGGTTACCATAGTAACTAAGTGTAATTAATTTGTGTATTTCTTATTTTCCACTATTTTGTTACTGTATAGGATATACTAGTGATAATGATTGGTCTACTGTTGTAATACCTCTGGACCAGTATCAAGATCAACTAAGAAGAAGGATACTGAGTGATTGGGAGAATTTAGGATTAGGCAAAGAGGTTCAATTACTCAGAGGGCACCTACAAAAAAGAGAAAGAGAATTCTATGAGGAACAGCT